GTTTTCACGGTCTCTTCTCCCTGCCCTCTGGACTGAGGTTGAAAGAAAAGAAGTCATATTAAATACGTCTCAAAATTCTTTCATTTTTTTTTATGCACTATAAAACGGACTAAACCGGGATCATTCAAAACTAAAATCTGCCAGGATTTGATGGTTGTAAAGTTAGTTATATTTCGCTTATTGAATGTTTAACAAACGAGCCAAATCAGAGTGTTTTCTTCTAAACCTTTCTAATAACTAATGCAGACAATTTGCAATTTTACCATGTCCTCTTTACAGTTTCTAAACGATTTTTGCGGTTTTTATTCATTCAGTCAGAAACAATCAGTGAGTAATCCTATCAGGATGGCATTGCCACAACTTGTCTTGGCACCCCACCCCATCCTTGGTGGAGAGAGTTTGGATGACCCCAGGTAGTGCATTCGAAAAATGAGAAACAAGAAATTCTCAAAACGACAAACATACCATGTAAGCTGTTTACACATAAGCTCTAAAACATTGGCTCAAGATCACTCTGCTGGGTTTACCAGTTTTCTTACTCTTGACATTTCTGAATTTTGCTTGAAGCCCTGGCTCCTAGTTTTTTTGTTGGTGCTTTTCCATTGTTTGTCTTTACTCGGTTTGATCAACATATTATTGGAGTAAACGGGTTACTGGTTGAAAAAATGTGTAAAATCTGGAGATTTGCAAGTCAAAAATATGAAAGTTGCAACTCCGAAAACGAAAGGCTGTGTCTTGTTCTCGCGTTACTTCATTGCTTCTTTTTGTTATCCACCATAACGCCGTCACCATGTTTGTTTATTTCTGGTTTCTCTTCCTCTGGACCAGACAGTTCATCATCACTGCGAGCATCTTTCTCCACCTGAATGAACAAATATTCACGGTTACCATAACAAAACAAAACAAAACAAACAAATAATCAATCAATATATCAGTCAGTCAGTCAGTCCGTCTGTCCGTCAGTCAGTCAGTCCGTCTGTCTGTCAGTCGGTTGGTCAGTCAGTCAGTCAGTCAGTCAGTCAGTCAGTCAGTCTGTCTGTCTGTCAGTTAGTCAGTCAGTCCGTCTGTCAGTCAAACAAACAAACAAACAAAGTAACAGGTACAACAATAACGTACCGTTCCTTTTACAATGAACTGCATGGCCACTTCGGCAATTTTGTAAGACCAATACAGATGAAGAACCTGAAACCGTTATAAGTAACCAATTCAGTACAAAAGAAACTTGAGTCTGAAGAGGAGGACATGTCTATACGTTCAAACTCGTCTGAAGTATTACCTGGCCAATTACAAGCTAATGGCAGTAACTTTAAACAGTGCAAATATTGTTGTATACCCATAATACCATTTCAGGTACTTACATCTTCTAATGCTGGAAAATTGCAAGGTCAATTTCTTAGAAAGACAAGCTGAACTCCTGGAGTGACAGGAGTAACCACGGCTTTCCATTTGTAGAAAATCCCAAAAAGGTTTGGCTAAGAATTTTCATTCACAAAGAAAGAGTTCCATTTTTCCAAGTTTCCCTGACGAATCTGCCATTTTGGTATGGCCTTGAAAACCTAAAGGTCATTCCAATCATTGGGAAACTGGGACTTTTTTTGGAAGTTTTTTTTTCTGGAAATTTCCTATCAAGAGACACCAAAGAAGTGTTTACCATGTAATTCTGAATCAGAATTTCCCGATGTTTGGACTAAATGGAAAGCACTCACAATATCATAAAGAAACCTTTGGTAAACTATAATGTTTTTAAGGTATCATGGTAGGTGGATTGACAGTGTTTGGAAATCGCGATCTTACGCTGGCGCTATCAGAGGGGGACATGGGGATTTGCGGTGTTGCGGTGTTGATGTTTTTTTAATGCGGTGATGCGGTGAATAAAA